GCCTCAGTAGAGGCATCGACCTACCGGCACTATACCGGTACGGTATGGTCAGCGCCAGAGCGCTGTTTGATGCGCTAAACTTAACGCAGGGGCTGAAGCAGGAGCGCAGCATAGCGCAGATTAGCGCAGCAGCGAGCGGAGCAGCGGCAGGGCGACTGAGCCAGCACGGCGGCCATTGCCGCCTGAGGTACTGGGAGCTTGGAGGATCTCTCCTCCTCTCCCTCGCCAGTCCTCTCTCTCTCTCTCTCTCCTCTTCTCCTCCTTCTTCTTCTTCTTCTTCAGATTGGAGACTATCCAGTTGGACAGAGATCAAAGTTGGGCTTCGGTGATATGAGACTGTGGTACTTACCTGATTGGAGACTTGGAGATTGTTGAGGTTGATACTCGGCTGCATCACAGTTGGACACCGGTTACATCTGGACTCGGTTATCTCCGACATTGGTGACCTTTGGTCCTCGACATTTTGATCTTGTTGTATGACATTTTGGACTACTACTTCGGAGACCTACCGGACCCTATCTTGTGACCTATCGGTGTGATCTACCTCCTACCTCCTTCGTCTCTCCTCCCACCTTTCATCTGTGCATACGTGTACGGGATCTGGGTATCTTCTATGCATGACCCAGACYCCACCATCTCATGATTGTATGTGTGTGGAGTGATGCCATGTAGGTYAGTCTATGTGAGTCAGTCTATGTGAGTCAGTTTCGTTATAAGACTTCCACTGCATAAAAACTCATCCTATATTGGTTGATTCTTGGTTCTGCCCATACTCATTGGAGTATGTAACAGTGTGTGAGGGGTGGACATTCAGGGTGGATCTTCGTGTGTGTATGCGGGAGTGCTAGTGAGGCTGATGGTGGAGAAAGTGTTCAGTTGGGACTTCAGACAGTGACTCAACGGCCATAGCCGCAAGTTGCAACAGTTGACTTGAGCCGAGTTTCTGGCCAGAGGCCATATCTCTGAGTTTTCTGTAGGGGCGCATGTCACCAGTCCAAGTTCGTTGCTGGTTCTGAGTTGATGAAGTTGGTCTGTCATCGGTACATACGTGTATGCATGTTGCAAGCGAGATTGAGGGCCTCGCTGCACTCTCTAGACTCTCGAAATATTTCGAGAGTTCGGCTAGCGTTGTCAGAGAGGCGAGACTCTCGAAATACCCGCCTTCGCTGCACTTACTCTCTAACCTATTACACTAGGTGAACTCTGGAAACCCTGGGCGTCGTCCTACTCTACAGAAGAGCTTCACCACTGCGCTACAATGAAGTCTGGCCGCCGGGACAGGAGGTCCACTCTCGAAAAATGAGCCTGTCCGCGGGCGACTCCCGAGGACACTCGCAAATTCAGTTTGTGCAGGCGGGGGACTCTCGACGTTTCGAGAGTTGTGTTATAGTGTGGCTTCTGACAGCTCTCGATCGGGTTTCGAGAGTTTCCCGATCGAGAGTAAGTGCAGCGATGACCCACTCTCGAAAATTCGAGAGTCTAGAGTAGTGCAGCGAGGCCCTGAGACAAGTCTGATTTCACTGGTATCAGAGCTGGTTCCCGTCGTCCACGCCATAGCGACAGAGCTGCAGAGAAGAAGGAGGCTGCCATAGCTGGAGCACGGCACAGAGAGAGAGAGAGAGAGAGAGAGAGAGAGAGAGAGAGAGAGAGAGAGAGAGAGAGAGAGAGAGAGAGAGAGAGAGGAACTTACCCGTGACGTGGAAGTGAAGAACCCGCCATAGCGGATGGCGGCCATAGCCGCCGAGCTCGGAAGAAGAAGAAGACGGACGACTGGACGAAAGAGAAGCAGACGAGGGAGAGAGAGAGAGGTGACGAAGGTGAGGGAAGCCATAGCCAGCAAGAGCAAGGAGAAGTCGGCCATAGCCAAACTTGAGAGTGAAGGAGAAGAAGGGCGAGTTGGCGAAACTGATGAAGGGAGAAGGAGCCGCCATAGCCAAGTTTGACTGGAGCTGGGAGGCGTTGACCAAGTTTGACCGGCATTGACCGGGGGTTGACCGGCGAAGTTTGATCAAGTGTTGACCAGCGTTGACCAAGCTGGAGTGCGGAGTGAGCGGTATACTCTCTTCAAGCCCTGGCCCTACCCCTGTTACCCTGTGGATGTGCACTCACCTTGGTACTTGCTGAGAGTCGGTCAATCATCTCGTTCTGCATTGAGTCACTTCTGTCCAGGTCGATAGGACTCTGTGCATGTGGTCAGATAGGGGCCGTGAGCCAGTGTCTGCACGGGACTTAGTAGGGGTTGAGGTGTGTCTGACGCTAGACAACCTGGGAAAACACCCCAAGGACCGGTACAGACCGGCAGGTTGCTCTGGGTGGCACATTATACCCGAACTCTGAGCTGCAAAGCGGGTATCCACTCTGCCTACGCCTTGAGAGGACTTCGGTTGTGATCGTCGTCCTTTTGCAATGTTAAAGAATTTTTGAGGGGTTATGGGGGATCTCCTTAAATGCCTCCTGATCAGCCAGAAAATTCCTGTACATCGACCCTGGCGAACTTAGTAGCACTCCCCGGATGGGGAACGCTAACCAAGCACACGCCTATTGATCTTCAGGTAACGCGTGAGGGTGTAAAGACCAGTAGTGGTGAAGGGACAGTGGATATAAACGCGAGTGAAAATTGTGGATTGCGTAATAAATGAGCCGACTAAGCCGAGTAGCTGACAGAGCGTCAATCTGATGTGAAAGCCAGGTGGGTTTCGGTGATAGTGGTTGCGAGCACTTCCGTCGACTGTGGCAAGTTTCGGTGACAGTGGTTGCGAAAGCATCCGTCGGCTGTGGAGAGTTTGGGTGACTGTGGTTGTGCTCGCATCCGTCGGCTGTGGAAAGTTTCGGTGACAGTGGTTGCCAAAGCATCCGTCGGCTGTGGTAACCTAGCTTAAGCGGAAGAAAGACCTATGTGGTCCTTTAGAGAGTCGAGTGGGTAGGTCTACGTGTTGAGGAATGGAATTGTCAGTGATTGTGCCCTGTCAACACAGTGACCACCCGGACAGGAACGAGCACTACCCCATATAGTAAGAACAAGAAGAGAGGGATGCTGCTATTCTTCGTGAGAAGGAGAGGATGGAGAAGAGAGAGTTGATTAAACAGGCAAAGAAGTTAGCTCTGTTGGAAGAGGCGGCGGCCAAGAAGAGGCAGACGGAAGAGGAGTTGGAGAAATGGAAGAAGGAACACGAAGAGAAGCTGGCCGCAGTCAAGCCCGAAGTAGAGGGAGAAGAGGAGGAAGTGGAGGCAGAGGCCTTGGTGAGAAGAAGGGGGGAGGCAAGTTCCAGTAGTGCTCCACCAGAGGAGGTGGAGAAGGTAATTAAGGAATGGGTAGCTACTTTATCCCTGGGGGAAGATAAAGAGGCAGAGCTGATGGTACCCCAGGCGGAGAGGGAAGCGGTGACAGAGAGCTGGAAGAAGAGAGTGATCCTTTGCGGCGACAAGCAAAGGAGCAAGAGAAGGAACTGGAGTGGAAATTGCACCTAGCACAGGAGAGAACAAGGCGCTTGGAGGTGGCAGAGAGGGTGGAGCAGGAGTTGAAGGCAGCGGCCGCCCAGCGAGCTCAACTGAAACACATTCGCGGTCATGATATCACACTCGAGTCCGTACGAGTCGGGTTTCAAGAGTTTGCACAGGACATGATGACCCATTTGATTGGGGAGATCCATAGAGCGATAGGGAAAACTGAGAAATTTTGTACCGGGGCCATAGAGGGCGCCAAAATAGCGGTTCCTAAGGAAGAAGAGACTAGAGCCCGCTGCGAAAAGGTTAAAGTGTGATTCCCTGAGCTGTATAGTGGGAAGAAAGGGGAAGATTTTGATAACTGGGAGGCCAACGTCCATTCATATATGTACTTGCAGGGCGTAGCAGCCGAGGATCGCGTCCTAGTAGCTTTCCAGGCTCTGAGAGACAAGGCGGCTAGTTTCACACGGTCACTTGCATGTGCAGCTCACTGCGAAAATGGTACGATTCAGTACTCCACTATCACCCACCTCACTGACTTTCTCGCTAAGTTGCGAGAATGCTTCGCGGACGCCACTAGCGATATTAAGGTGTCCGATAAGCTTCAGATGATCCATTCGCGGCAGTGGAGGAGTGTTCATGCTCTCAAATCCGCTATGGATGAGCTCATCGTTGTGCCCAGCCATAGGGTAACTGACACAGCTCGTGCAGCTCTTCTACCGGCCGTTGCCTGAGCATGTGCAAGGGCACTTTTTCGCCAAGAAGCAACAGCCAGGAATGACTTATGATGTCCTTAGTAGAGAGGCTGTTGCATTCGCCGCCGAAGTCGTGCCGGTTACCACTTTTTGGCACAAAGATCTGACCAAAGGCAAAAAGTGGAAGGGTTGCACCATCTTAAGGCCAAGGATAGCTTGATTTTAACAATGGAGGAAGATGGTGCCGATGAAGTCCCCTACTCTGACATTGCATGGGGACATGAAGAGGAGGAAGACAATAGGGTAGAGAAGGGGAGTACCTACACTGCTATCGCAGTCGCAGGGAGGCCGCAAGGAGGCGGAAGGGGCCCTGGCAGGAATGGTCGGGCCCCAGGTGGCCGAGGACAGGGCGGCCAGGGGATTGGCGGCAATAGGGACCACCAAGCGGGAGGAAGGGGTCAAGGTCCCCCGTCTAACCGTCCGCGTTCAAGCCGGTCACCTCCCAAACAAGGAAGGTGGCACCGGGGCCGGCCCCAAGGGCGGCCTTGGGAATCACTAGGAATTGGGCAGAATGTATGGCAGGATCGCATAGACAGGTACCAATGCGTGTTTTGTGGGTCCCTGGGCACATTATTAAGTTTCGTCCAAAGTACAAGGATCGTGCTGCTTCTGGGGCAGCAAAAGGCCACCGTCGGTAGAAGTCGCAACTGCCCCTACCCCAAGAGTATGTGGATCTGAGTGTGCGTGCAAGATAGAGACTCCCACTCCACATATCTCAGTGGCAAAGGTTGTTGGCCAGCGTCTAGTAAGCTGTCCACAGACTGCTTGTATTAGAGTCTCTCTAGGCGCTTCCCTCGCGGGCTTAGCTAAAGAGTTGAAGGAGAGGAGGCAAGTCTGGGCCAAGATGAAGAAGGATGGAAAAGGGCAGCTAATTCTCGCAGACATAGAGATCTTCAGAGCTCGAGTAGGGGACCTTATAGACAGTGGGGCCACCAGAAGTTACATTAGTCGTAAAGCGCTGAAAAAGTTGAAGATCGGTCTTTTTCCTTCTTTTTCCTTTTTTTTTCTTTTTTTTTCCTTCTTTTCAAAAGTCCATGGTGTTGGAGAGGACAGTCACTAAGTGCATAGTGATCACTTGGAGCAGTAGGCCGTGGGTGTCCTGGAATATGAGACCACCTCCCATCCGATCCTCGCGTCAATACTCCTAGCGCACCCCCTATCCCACTATCCTACCTCAGTGTGACCAACACTCAGGTCCATTACCCTACCAATGGGCAGGTAACTTGAACCAAACACCAGTGATAGGCACCAGGGCTGATAGGTTGCCCAGCCCTGATGGAAGCTAAATTCAACGAGCCTTGTCGAACAGGAACTTCGAACGTCAGGCCCAGACAATCTTTTTTTTTTTTTTTTTGGGGGGGGGAGGAATCCCTCCGGTGATAGTGGTGCTGCTACAGGCCCCAAGAGACTTTGGGCCCTAGGTTCAGACAGGGTAGCACCCATTGAAGCAGTCTTACCGTCCTTCCCCTAGCTTACCCAAGGCCAGGTGGAACTCGGACTGGCCTGAGCGAACCCCTACCCTTACCCTAGGGTCTAAGCCTTATATAGCCACCAGACAGTTCTATCCAATATCAGTAGGGACTCCGGCGGCCCTTACCTATACCTACTTCAGATACTAGACCCCACCAAGTGACTAGACCCCCCCAGTCAGGGTGTCACAGCCCCGGCCCCAGGGGGCCGGGGCAGCCCCGGGGGTCCGATGCGGTGGTCCCATGACCCCGGCCCGGAAGGGGCCAAAACAAAAAAAATCTAAAAAAATCTAAAAAAATCTAAAAAAATCTAAAAAAATAAATAAATAAATAAATAAATCTAAAAAAAAAAACAAAAAATATTGAGGAATGCGCAATGATAGCCTGCCCCCCCGGCAAATAATCAAAAAAATGATTTTCACCCCTCCTCGGACCCCCCACCGGGGCCATACCCACCATTGGTGCAGGGGCGGGGATGGCTCCAGGCGGGGGTGGCCCGGGGCGGGGGTGCGGGGGTGCAGGGGTGGCGGGGCGGGGG